TTGGTAAATAAAAGGATTAGAATTATAATTGGGCAACTTTGTATTTTTGAGAGATAATAAAACTGATAGTGAATCGGATATTATTAAAACTGCATTATTGTTTAAATTGTCGAAATATTTCAAGGCTTCAAGAATTGCAAGTGCTTCAGCACTAAAAATTGAGTAATTGAGAGGTAGTTTGAACATTTTTTCCATTGACTTGGATGGAATGTAGAAAGCACATCCGGTCCCTTCCGATGTTTTGGATGCATCTGTATAGATTACAGTTGCCATGGGCCATTTTTTTATATAAGAATTTAAGATGGATGAATCTAATAATGGAGTACTATAATATGTTGGTATGTGTATATCAGCTTTATTAAAAAATGCGAAATAGTCGTTAATATCAAGGTTGCTAATACTGTTGGTATACTTTTTGTTACACATGGCTCTAAAGGCCGTGCAAAGAGTTGGTGAATTTTTATGAATCCAGTAACTGTTTGTTAGATCCTCGGTATTTAGTGAGCTTATGTCAGAATATAAAGAATTGTTGATATATGAAATTTTCACTACAAATTTTTCACTTAGATAATCTCGTCTAAAATTTAAAGGAGGTTCTAAAGCTTCAACATGCAATGGAGCTATTGGAGTAGACTTCATTGCTCCCATACAGGTACGTAGAACAGTCCGTTGAAATACATCAATTTTATTTAAAATTTGTTTACTTGCTGATCCATAAAGTATACATCCATAGTCCAGAATGGATCTGATGTAAGATTTGTAAAAAAGCAAAGCCGTTTCTACGTCAGCACCCCACCAAGTTTTAGAAATTGATTTTAAAAAATTGAGACCTTTATTGCTTTTGTCAAGCATATACTCGATGTGTACTTTCCATGTTAACTTTTGATCTAGAAACATACCTAGATATTTTATTGACTTACAGAAATTTAAACTTTGGCCATTTAATAAAATAGTATTTATGTTCGGAATATTATGTCGGGAAAAAATGCACACGTTTGATTTATTAGTTGATAAATTAAAACCATTTTCACAAAACCAGTTTGAGAAATGTTCATGTAATTTTCTTAAGATTGTAATGGAAGGTTCATATTTAGTCCTTTCTGTATAAACTAGGAAGTCATCATCATATTGGATTGTTTTGTAAGTGATACTTTGTATATTAAGGCTATGAAAATCAGCAGTATACAGATTAAAAAGAAAAGGGCTTAAGACTGATCCCTGGGGTAATCCCCAACTATTATAACGTGGTCCAAGAAATTCATTTTTATAGTTTCTAACGTATAAGCGTCTATTTGTGTAGAAATTAATTATGGTTTGTGCCAGATTTGTGGGTATTTGAAATTGATTGATCATTTTGTCTTTTAATCGAGGTAAACACACACTGTCATAAGCACCTTCTATATCTAGAGATAAAGTAGGCAAATAGTTATTTCTAGAAAAGTTACTCTGTATGTCCGTTACAAGCGTAGCTAGAGCATCTAAAGTTCCACATCCTCGTTTGTATCCAAACTGATTATTTGGTAGTAATTTTTTGGTATGGACCCACCATTCTAGTCTATGTTTTAACATCCGTTCCAAAGTTTTAAATACACATGAAAAGAGAGAAATTGGTCGATAAGATTCTGCTGAATTTGGATCTTTTGCAGGCTTTAGAATCGGAATAACAATGATGTTTTTAAAAAAATCTAACTCAGAATTGTCTTGAATGATCCGATTTAAAAGGTCTAATAGAAAATGTTTTGCTATTTCTGGAAGGTTAATAAGCATGGAGTATTTTATATGATCGTATCCTGGACAATTATCTTTACGATCATTTATAGCGAAAATTAGTTCATTGTAAGTGAAAGGTTTTAGTAGAAAATGATTTTTTTCAGAATGGGTTGAATCTATGTAGCTGGATTTTTGAGGGTTCGCAGTTGGTGGTGCAACTTTAATAAGAAAGTCATCAATCCATTTTTGATCGAAAGATTTTATTTTTGATATTGGTTTTCTGTAAATTTTTCTAGCTTGATTCCAAAGAGTTGTAGCTGGTGTATTTTTGTTTAGGGAAGAGACCCATTCAATCCAATGCTTTTTTGCTATATTTTTTAATGTTTTTTTGGTTCTAGCCGAGATCTCCTGGTATTGAACGTAATTTTCAAAATTAGTGTTTTTTTTGTAATTTATTAAAGCCAATTTTCGCTGTTTGATAATATTGTCACAATCAATATTCCACCACGGGGGTGGGTGCCGTTTACATTTATAAGGTTTATATTGGGGTATTGCTGCTACTGCGGCCGTATTTATATTATTAATAAAAAAGGAGTACTGTTCAGTTAGATTATCCGAGTGACTGATGTTCGTCTCATGCAAAATCTGAATCGTTGAGGTATATAACGCCCAATTGGCTTTTTTAATATTCCATTTATTTTTAGGAGATATTTCATTTTCATTAATTGCAAAAATTAATTCTATAGAAATGACATAGTGATTTGATCCTAGGGTATCAGAGATGACATTCCAAGATGTTTTGTTAACTAGTTCAGGTGAACAAAATGTTACATCAATTGCTGAATCCCGTTGATCGGGACGTCTTAAAATCGTAGGTTCTCCATTGTTTAAAACCGTTAAATTTAAATCATCTGCAACATTTATTAGTTGTGATCCTGTGGTATCATTATTGTGACAGCCCCATATAGAGTGGTGTGCATTAAAATCACCGCCTATAATTAAAGGCCCATCAAACTGTTCAAAAATTTTTACCCAATCTTCATATATTGTTTGTATTTTTGGAGGATTATAAATAGATACAAAATTTAATGATAAAGTTCCATATTTAACTTGTATAGCACATACTAAAATATTTTCATTGTAATTTATATTGATCTTTTGTTCCACAAATCGAAGAGATTTGTGTACTAAAATTGCCACACCGGCATAGCCATCGTTTCTGTCATTGCGGATTACATTGTAACCACCAAAATTATATTGTTGATTTTTTTTAAACCAAGTTTCGCTTATAAGCGCAACGTCGATATTTTTATCAAAAAGAAATTGTACCAGACTATTTTTGTTAGCTATAGCAGAACGTGCATTCCATTGCATTATATTTAAATTGCGTGTTTTTGGATTGAATTTTATTGGTTTTTCAAAATATCCTCCAATACTTGTTCTATACTACTTGTAATTACGTTAATATCAATAGGTTGTTTATTGTTACTTGAAATTATTTTATTAATAAAGTCCATGATAAAAATCGATAAATTGCTAGCTATACTACTTTTATTGATTTCCAAACTAGAGTAGTTTGGTTTATTTGAATTTATTGTCAAAGGTTGTGAAGGTCCAAAGGTGAATGGAAATAATGGTTTTTGAACAGGTGATTGGATAGTGGGAGAGTTTGATTTTCTCTTCTTTTTGATTGGAGGTCTAGCACTCGCATGAGTGTGTTGAGAAAAGGAATTATTTTGATTGTAATTGAAATTTGAAGAGATTTGATTACGATTTGGCTAAGATAAAGATTTACGTTCGTTGTTAGGAAGTTCTGGAAAATGTTTGTCATAATTTGTTAGAGGTGAAAAGGAGTTGTGACTTACTAAACTGGATAAGGAATTTTCAGATATTTCTTTGGCTTCCTTAAATGAGGTTTTTTGCTCTATCATTATATTTTTAATTTTTTTTTGATTGTCATAAGAGGGACACTTTTTTGAGATAGATACGTGATCTTTGCTTTTACAGTGTATACAAAAAATCATATTTCTATCACAATTATGTTTATCGTCTTTAATTTCACCACAATTTATACACTTTTCTTGAGTGCTGTTACACTGTTTAGATACGTGCCCATATCTTAAACATTTGTAACACTGGGTTACTCTTCCTACAAATTGTTCAACCGAGAAAAAAACTCGATTAAAAGCTACGCGATTTGGTAAAATATTCCCCTCGAAAGTAACGACAATAGATTTTTTTGGTACAAATTCGACTGTTTTGTCTTCTTTTTGCACTTTCCTATTTAACCTATATATGTTAATAACGCGTGAGTCTGATTCGATATTTTCCATGAGATAGTCAATATCAAAACGAGTATCCACGTCTCTTATTAGCCCTTTAACTTCCAGTAAATGGTTCGGTATAAATGCTCTTAAATTTTCTGATTTCAGTTGTAGATGATTTACTAAATTATTTGCCTCTAGAAGTGATTTTAATAAAACTTTAATCCGGTTTCGGCCTATACTTTTAATTTCAAGAATGCTTTTAAGATTAAATTTTTTAAAAAGAATATGACCAACAGTCATTGGATGTAATCTACCCAAATTGTTATTGTCGGTACTTTCTATGTATACCCAAATATTTTGTACATTGTACTTATCTGAGAGGAGATTGAATGTTTTCGGTTCCAACTGCTTCGCTGTTTTCTGGACATCACTATCCTCACTAGATTTATGATTAATATTATTAACACTTAAATTGGAATCACTGTTATTTATGTCAGTATCTGTCGTCATAAAAGACGTCCCTTGTTTATTTTTGTCCCCCATCGGGGACCGATATTATTTTGTATCAATTATTAGATAGTATACACTTTTTAATTTTATGTCTAATATGTAAAAAGTTAAAAACAAACACCAAGTAATTAGGAACCGGCTCGGCCCGTAACGAAATTATCGACTGACTCGGTCAAAAGAACGATCGATACTGAATTTTAAGTTTTCTTAAATCAATAATAATATATAAACAAATCAGTATGTGTATAAATAAATGTGTGTATGTCAATGCTTGTAAAACCCATGTAATTAGAAATTTATGTATGTAAAAATACATGTAGGTAATAATTTATGCAATGTCAAAATCTGTTTAAATAAGTATGTATACAGAAATGTAAAAAAACAATTACTAGTTGTATAAATTACAAATACAAAACATACAATTCTTTATAGATATCTGCATGCTTTTTTTTATAAACGCAGCCGTTATTTATATTCTTTTTTTATATATGTTATATATTTTATTAGAATTACCTCATAATACGCCAAAAATCCCCCTTCTTTTGTATAAGGTCCTTCTTTGCCACCACTACTACTAGGAGCATGTACACCATGTTTATTGGAATCTGATAAAGTAAACGATCTACCGTAGGTAGGCATCCCTATTACCATTTTCTCCTTGGGAGCACCCAATTTAACCCAAAGATTTGCTGCATGTTCAACATTCAATTGCTTTTGATATTGACTGTCACTGCTAGGTGAATAAAGCGGGGCATTGTGTCCTGTTTCTCTTTCCCATTTACCGTGAAAATCGTAAGCCATAAGGTTAATGAAGTCAAGATACGACGCTACAGCTGGGACGTCATATCCGCCTTTTATATTATCTGGACCTACAGGTACAGCGGCCGTAAGAAGAAGGCGATTTTTCTTAATTTCTTGAGATTCTGCTTCAAATGCTTCTCGTAGTTCTAAAAACAAATGTAAAATTATAAAATGCAGTTAATACAGCAATATTTAGTACACCGCAAATGTTTTTTGTAAACTACATATATATACATATATATATATATATATATATATATATATATATATATATATATATATATATATATATATATATATATATATATATATATCCCTAGCTCGGTGTACAGAAAACAAAAAGGCTAACGCAGCAGTTTAAAATTCTAAATGAATCTGCGGCTTAGTCTAGAATATGCTGGTATCTGATCAGCCTATGGTGGAGCAGTACAGCAAGGATAAGGGCTTGTGGTTCGGTGATACTCCTCCATAGATCCCTACCCCGGAAGGGCGTGTGCCGCCTAAATACCGGGTATATTAATATATACAGTGGAACCTCGATTATCCGTCAGGGCACCGGACCAAGGGTATGACGGATAATCGAAAGGACGGTTAACCGAACATTAAAAAAATTCTTAGTATAACTCTTAAATTATAGTTGTATGTTTTTTTGACAATTTAAGAGGGATTTATGTTGTATGGGACTGTATGAGTACAGTCGAATCAATTTGATCTCGTGTCAAACCATATTCATCGATCATATCTTGAAACTTTCTTTTATATTCGTCAACGACTTGCAGCGCTCAATTTTTCACCTTCGATTTTCAGTTCTCGTATATCTCGTTGAAAAACAATACTTTTTCGGCAACTATTGGACAGGAATGGGCCAGACAAAGAAACACCTAAGCTTCTTTTTTGAACGAACCCCAAATACAGAGTGTCGTGTGGTGCCGTGTCGAATAATTCATTTGTGGCTTTTTTCATTGTCTAACTATGTTTCATTTGGCCATCTAACGATCCCATTTGCAAAGCATACTTTTCAATTCCATCAGAATTTTTCTTTAAATCATTGATTGTTGTTCTCGGAACATCATACTTTTTGCTAAATGCCACTTAGTGACACAATCAATGTTCTAATTTGAATCAAATTGAATTATGTTGACACACAGATATTGACTTTATTATTGTGCTCTGCGTTTTTATTTTCGGCTTGCGATTCTAAAAATGAAACTCTAAAAGCACGGTATTATTTATCATTACCTATTTAAATTGAAATTTAGTCTGGAGCCCTGAATAAGAACAATAATTATTTACATAAATAAATGCGATGGTGGCATAATTTTACTCAAACGAAATTAATTGATGACTAAATTTTTACTTAAGTTGTCATTATAACTTATGTATGGACCCTGACGGTTAACAGAGGTGATGGTTAATAGAGAGACGGATAATCGAGGTTCCACTGTATATATATATATATATATATATATATATATATATATATATATATTAGGTATATATATATATATATATATATATATATATATATATATATATATATATATATATATTAGGTAGACAACACCCTAACCACAAGTTGGTATAGGAACCCGATGGCCTCCAATAGGTTCCTTAACTACCATTCCTGTCATCTTTTTAAATATAAATTAAAATTTATTAAAGCTCTAAGCTGTCGGCTAAATAGATTGACACATCCGATTAATCGAAGGGAATCCCTTAAATTACTACGAAATATTCTGATTGAGAATTCATATCCTTCCTCTCTCATTAATAAATACCTTTATTCACAAAGCTATGGCTTCTCTTTTGATGACATACACAATGGTGACCAACTTAGAATAATGTCAAATAATTCAATTAATAGCATTGTTCTACCTGATACTGATCTTGGGAATCCTATCACCCATTATTCATCTTTACCTTATTTTCCTCAAGTTACTGAGAAGCTTACTAAACTGTATAAACAGAATAACGTACCTGTCAAAATTGCTGCCAAGAATGCTAAGACTGTTAGAAATTTGTTTTCAAAAACTAAAACACCCTTGTCCCTTTTGGAACTAGTGAATACCATTTATCATATACCTTGTGCTGAGTGCGACTCATGTTATATCGGTCAAACCGGGAGATCATTAAGAGGGAGTCTTACTACACATCGTAGTGATATTAATTTAGCAAAACACACTTGTGCTTTAGCTCAAGATGCCATCAATACTAAACATAAGATGGATTTTAATGAAGTTAAGATTCTTGGCACTGAACGCAATCTCGTCAAAAGACAGTTTTTGGAAATGTGTTCAATTCTCAAACACCCAAATGCTCTCAATAAGAGAACAGACATAAGTAACTTGAGCCAAATATATCACGCTTTAATATTGCAGAATTAGGCTTAATAAACTATTTACTTTATAATTGTCTTTTAAGGTGTACAGTTTAACACATTTGTTTATTAAATAATTTAAAAAATACTATTAACATATTAAAATAAATTCATAACATAAATAAAATAAATTAAGTTTCTTACTTAGTTCATCTAGACTTATGCAACTTACATTGCGTTGACTTATTCATCATTGCATATACACAGATTTGTGTTAATTGTTTTCTGTATTAAATACACAGATTTGTGATAGAAATGATTTTGAAATAAAAAATATGTATTAGACATGCAGTGTTTTATAAGAAATAATGTGTCTTGGGGGATATGATGTTTAGACTACAAGATGGAAATAGTTTCATCGATGGGAATGTTGGTAAATAAAGAAACAATGTCAAACAAAGAAACAAAAGAAAACTACCAAATCCATTATAAATAAGTCTACTATACCTCCAGAAATCAAAAAATCTCTTATACCCAGAGAAAATTCATCTCGAATTCCAAAGATATACGGCCTTCCAAAAATCCATAAGCCCAATATTCCTCTAAGGCCCATCGTCAGTGGATACAACTGCCCCACTCAGAAATTGGCAAAACATCTCTTTTTATCCTTACAACGATTATCCGAAAACGCCTCGTCCTTTATCAAAAACTCTTTTCATTTCATTTATCTTCTGAAAAAAATTTCTATTTTACCCTCAGATATACTAGTTGGTTTAACATTGTTTCTTTATTTACCAACATATTTTTTTCTTTTATTGCATTCTAAAAATTTATAAAGAAAAGATATATACTACATAAAAGCTCATCAGATGAAATACAACCATAACATGCAATCATATTACTAAGATTTTCTGAACGAGACGACATTATTATGTATAAAACTCCACCCAAGTTTAAAGCTTCCAATAATATTGCCGTCCATCAATAAAAATCGAGTGTAGAAATTTTATTTAATAATAAAATTAATCAAACAATAATGCATTAGAATAATCACCAACCTATAGAGAAAACATACAATGGATGGGAACTATTCATGTATTTATGGAAATTGAGGTCGAAGAAAGTGTGCTGCGAAACTATTCAGACATGAGTGCATTCGATTCATTGTTGTTTAAAACATTAATTATTAACGAGTGATATTAAAAGTCATTGACTAACGAGCTGAGAATATATTACATATTTAAATATCTATATTGATTTTTTTAAATATCAGATTGTATCAGGTTGTACATAGTCTTGTTAGTTTTGTTTTATTTTATTTTTAATGTTTAATGTTGTAAAAGTCCAATCACCAATAGTTTTAAATTAACAACATGTAAAAGAAATATTCAATATATTTTTTTAATGGCCTTGGCATAGCCAATTGACCAGACTGTTTTGTAATTTGTATTTACAGAACAACAATCAGAGTTCGAGTTAATACTAAATGTAAGTTAAAAATAAATTAAATAATTGAGTTGTTTTGATTTTTCCTTTTTTGTTTGTTTGTGATTTTTTTTTATTTTTTTTTATTTTTTTATAAATATTCAATATTTCACGCGAAAAAAAATAAATTTCAGCTATAAAGCTAACTGCATCCATTTAAATATACCTTAAATAACTAACAAAGCTGGACACCTAAAAATAATAAAAAAAGTCGATGCAGTAGGCAGTATAGCAGATGAGCGCTAAACTTTATAGTTACTATATTTTCTGTATTTTTAAAATTTAAATAATATTTTTAAAATTAAATAAAGTAACTTTATTATTTATATTATTAATTATGTTTTAAACAAATTATATTATATTAAAATATTTTAACAAATTATTAAGTTTGCTCCTAACGCCTCCTGCTACTATTTTTACGAAGCATATGTTGTTTACTTCTGACAAACCTGTCAAATTCAGACAAGATAATAAATTAATAATAGAATGTAAATAAATAAAATTTAAACAGACTATTCAATATTTTTAATAATTAAATGACATTAATGAGGTTTAAATTTTGGCAATCATTACGAATCGAATCTTTTATTGATAGATTCTTTTTTTTTTATTTTCATTTATTGTCTGTATTTTTTAATTATTTTTTATGCAGTTTATTTTAACTTAAACCTACTTAGAATAAATATATGAAGACTAGAAACGAATTGATCAAGACTAGCGAATCGATGTGCAAAACAGTTTTTTTGTGACGCTATCCGTGACGCCTTCTCCTCGTGGCGCTCAACTCATCATTTTACAGACAGACAGTCAGCAAAGATTTCCCATCTTTTTAATTTCGCTATAGTAAAAGAAATGTCTACCTCCAAATTTCTCCGATCTCATTTGATCTCTATTCCCCTTTTTTATCGATCTACACCGTTAACTTTATAGTTTTTTTTTAATTTTTAACAAATTTTGAACAAAAAAACGCACTGGAAGAGCCGTGGATACGAAACATAAATATGTTTTAACCTAATCGTGCCTCTTAAAAATGACAGTAATAATGAAAATACTTTTGATAACATAAATATACTTATAACGGAATAAAGAAAATTTCGAAAAAGGGTGTAGTTGATTAGACATCCAGAGAATAAAATAATGTTAACTAGAACTTGAAAATTACTTAAAAGAAAATTACTCTAATACAAAAACAATAGAATTAATAAAAATGGCATAATTATATTTTAAAGATACTTATTTATATTTTAAATTCATTTTTAAAAATAGGTTGTTTTCACTTCAGCAGAGTGCCCCAAATTATTCATATACCAAAACCCAATCAGGACCTCGTAAACGAGTACTCAT